GACACTGTCGCTCGTAAAATCCGGAAAACTCCTTAAAACTCCAATTAAAACATTTAATTGCTTATTTTAAAGGATCATAACTTTGTAACTTCCAATGAAACACAATCGAATGAATTCTGTTTTTGCTAATTTCCAGAGGTTTTTACAACAAAATCCTGAAATTTATTGCCAGTCAGGTCTAAGATGCAGAGAATATACTGTACGAGGTATTATTTATATGTCCGCTAAAAATAATAATATTTATTTAGGCTTCCACTTTTACAACAGCGGCACACTTTCTAAAATAAAGGTGCTGAGGAAAACATTTTCTTGGTTTAATTAAAAATTTTATTAACTTTCTTTAAATAAGTATATACAAAGTGAACAGTTTAAATACTAGTGTCATATTTTTAAGCTTTTTTTTATTATTTTTGGAATAGGTGCTTTATAAAATTATTATTATTATCATTATCATTATTATTATTCCATTATAGCAGCGGCACATTTTTGCAAAACAAATGTGCTGAGGAAAACATTTTCTTGGGTTAATTAACAGAACATACAAACTCCTGCAAAGCTTAGCCTACATCAAGCACAGTAAGTAATCTAATTTTGAATATTTAATAGGCCTACATATTACAAAAATTATATGATTTCTCTGGATATCTGATAAATTATACTAAATAAAATAAACCCAGATGATAAAATAACATGAGGTATAGCCTTGTGTTTCTTTCTAAGGGGATGATTATGTAACCACCAACAATTAGATAAAATGAGAAAAAAATTACAAATGATTTATCACTTATAATGTCACCTTAGGGTGATTAATCACCCCTTTCATATGGGGGGAATGAGATGTTCTCTCATCATCCTTAAACTCCCCTCCTTTCAGATGGTGAATAAGTTGGCCAAGGATATACCTAATTAGTACAGCCTTCAGAATCTAACTTCCTGCCAACTTGAGTACATCAGGTAAACAAAAGCTTTGTAAAGCAATAACTAGCACCAGTGTAACAAATTACCTCCATGGTTTGATTGAATGGGGTGTATCCCAAATTAGGCTACTTAGCTTGTGTGAAGGATTAACTGTATTACTGTATAAACAATTACAGGCCATGATATGATTGGGTTGAGAATGAAGGCTCTGCTTTTAAAATAATGAACATGAAGTATGGCAGATATTCTACATTTGAATATATATATAAAGAGAAACTTTTATATATTCTTGGGGAGGGTTCGCTTTTACTAAGTACATAATATGTTTTAATAAGTTTCAATAGATTTTGTAAATTTTACCTTAATGTATGATCATCGCCCTGTTGTATTGTATTGAACATTTTCACTTCATTTTATAGTTTACTCACTGATTTTTACTGTGTGTCTTGCGTAACTGATGTTTCGGATTTGCATGTGAATGAAGCGTATATGAGCATGAGCCACCGATACAAAGGTGTTGTTTTAAAAATAGACTGTATTTAAAAAAATAAAAAAAATATTACTTAATAATTCCCATCCTATTAAACATCTATTTTTCCATACAAACTGTAACAAGTATTAAATATAATAGTTTGTGTTAGCATGAATTACCTAACAAAATCGTACAATTCCACTCAAAGTGGACAAAATTTATGCAAATAAGCAAATTCTCAGTATACATATTTTCACACAATATTCATTGTTGAGTTACATACAAAGAATTTTAAACTTCATAAATTTTTCTCTTGTGCTATTGTTCACTTTTCAAAGAGCGACAGAAGTCATGACAATTGACTTGAGGACTGGAAACCTGAACTCTGGCACTCTAACATTATTTCCAATGAATAGGTTGTCGACAGTAACATTGTTGTGAATGCAAGGCAGATCTTCATCCTATCAATCATAAATGTAGGCAAAGATACATCTTACTCATACCATAAAGAATTATTCTACATGTCCATACATACCATCACATTTCCAAAAAATCTAAACCCTAGACAGCTGGAAAACTAACTAGTAACTTTCATTGTGGCATTAAAATATGTGTCTTTTTTTTTTTAAATATTCAAATACGTCCAAATCAGATAATCAACATCATCATTATCGCTGACACATATCTGCTTGTTGTTAGCTTGACATTTCATTGCTTTTCGTTCTTTCAGACCAAAGGGCGGAGAAGGGAGGGCGGTATTTTGCTTCCTATATTTTGACAACTGATTTCAATTGTTTATCAAGCCAATTTTTCTGAAGCTTTTTCCACACTATCAAAGACTGTTGTATGCCCATATATAGTCATGATATGCACATATATAGTCATGATGCACCTATATATGGTCATGATGTGATGTCATGATGACCATATTACTTGGGCATGTCACATGTTTTTTGTTGAATAAATTTGGATAGTTTGAATGGGCTTCAAAGGAAATGAAACACGCAATACTTTTTGAGACTTGTTCTTTTTTTAGTTTGTTTACAACATCAGCCAAATACCTGAACAACTCAGATGTATTTAATGCATTAAATTCCAAACTCGGAAATGGGAGAAATATCATTTGTCAGATTTAATGCTAACGTATGTATGGTATTAATGCAAATGGATCATGAAAATAAATTCCATTCTTGGAATTAATGCGATCTGCTCAAATCCACGGTCGGATCGCTGAAGGTGTAGGCTACATAATGCAATGAAAAATACAAAGTTCAATATACTTGACTACCTGGGGTTTTAATGCTTTTAGCATGCACAAAACCCAATCGAAACTAATATTACATCCAACGGTTTAGATATTAACTATTTACAATAACGAAAGTTACAGAATCATCTCGCATAACCCGTAGATCTTTTGCATAATAAACACATAGCCAACAATAACCTATTGTAAGGAACAATCATTATGTTTGGTAGTATTTGATTAGTTCCAACAACCCCATTAATATTTTACACTTATCTCAGAATCATGGAGTTTAATACGATTTAATAATACTACAGTATTCAAAGGTAAACAGAACTGTCACTAATTATATTATACTGTAGAATATATACAAATTGGATAATACAGTAATATAGTAACGCACCATCTGTATAAAAGCTGTTTCAGACACAGAAATAAATATTTACTTTATTCATAAAATTTCACATTTGAAAATGGGAGGCCTAGTCAAATATGGAAAGACTACATTTGTAAATGGTTCTTATATTGTACAATTAAAACCATTTTAGTTTATATAAGATTATTTGGACTAAATGTCACATTCTGCACATTTATTTATTAGTTATTATTCCTTAGATAGCTGTATTGTGTTACAACAGGACAGTCATACTTTATAATTGAGGCATAACCACATTCCAACTGTGGTACAATTTCTGCAGATTTTCAAAAGGGCAATGAAGGTATAACCTCCACAAATTGGGGAATAACTTGGCAGTTTTCTTAACTCTATTTTATGATTAAAAGAACCATTTCTTTTTAAAAATTTTTCTTCCTTGTGAAATTCATTATTTTAAAAAAATATATAATTAGGTCAGGTTATTCCCAAGTTCAGTTTTATGTTAAGTCTTTCAATTGTAAGATTTCGTACAATGTGCATTTTTAGCCAGACAAAAAGAAAACTTGCGAACTTGTGATATAACACAGACAGATGCCATGAACCATGGAAGCACTTACAATGCAAAGGGTTGGACAGGGTAATAGTAATCTTTTATTCATTAATTCATTCATTGCATTTTGTAAGGGAATGTGAAAAATCTGTAGTGTTAAACTAATCATATGGGAACATAATACATTAATAATATGAAATATAAAATGTAGAAAAATGTTTGAGTTGATGATTTTTTACATATTTTTCTGAGGTGTTTTCATTTTTTACTCTTCTTAGAGTCAAATTATATGGAAAATCACTAAAATTTTAACTCTATACTTATGATTTCAAAGAAAAAAAAAACGACATTTTACGCTCAGATGTTGAGACATTTCAACAAAGTCTATAAAATATCTGACTATATTGTGATCCTTTTTTTCATGTGATTTTACATAATCCCAAACAATAATGTTATTTTATGGATTCCAAGAATAGATGTAAAAACAGTTGCAGTGGTGGAAGAGGTAAAATAAAATGATGGCAGATGCAGTCATGGTGATACTGAAAAGGCCATGTAAAAAAAAATGCTAATCTTTCCATATTCATTCATTTATTTGTAAAACCCACATCCGACTAAATTAATCATTAGGGCATTTGTGCAAAGTCTTACTCTATGCCAGAGAAATTGTCTCCATTAAGAAAAGAAACTCTCTTCAAAATCTAATAATGTTGAAAAAAGATGATTTTTAACAATTTATTTTACATGGCCTATAGTGGTAGTTGCAGTATGGTGGCACAGGTACTTGGTGGCAGTTGCAATGATAGTGGTGGTGATAATAATAGTAGTAGTGATAGTAGCAGAAGCATTAGCTGTATTGTTGGTTAAGTAGTAGTGGGACCCACCATGTTGGAAGTTGCTGGGGCACACACAAATACAAATATAGAGGCATAACAAAGTTAAATATGATAGACAAAAACTTAAATTAGCATTAAAAAAATTCATTAAAAAAATCTAAATTTTGGGTTTTCCCTTCGCTTATTAAGTTGAAAGTTGTGGTAGAAAATGATTAATTGTGAATGAAATGATGAGACCACATTTAAAATGACAATATAATTCATTGTTATTGATAAAAGATATTTTTAAGGTGTATGATCCATAACACCACAAACAATATACAATGTGTTAGATAACAAAACAAATACCAAACAATCCAAACAAAAATATCATTGTTACAATTTCTCCAATAAGATTGTTAAAAATAGACTTATTTTTAAAAATATTAAAAATTAATACCTTTAGTTACCAAATTGCATATGTAAAAAAATACCATCCGAATTATGGTAATATTAGCTAAAAACTTTTATATGTTTTGTAGCACGAAATCAAACATTGATCTGTAAATTATATAGTTTAATAGCCTGCAAAGAAATAGAGAAAAAAAAAAAACATTTGCACTTACTGATTCAAGTAGTCTTGAATCTGGGTGGTTGCTGTCAGTCGGAGATACTGCACCAAGACTTTTACCTAACCCGTCTCGATCATCAATTACAAGATCTATCGGCATTTTACCTTTCAAACAATTTATGTACCTGTGACAAAAATTGTCGCACAGTTCATGAACCTGCGGAGGAGGAAGAAGATACGAAAAACATAATTGAAATGAGAAAGAAAATGAAAAACAGTTTTTAAGTATTGAGAGCATTGTGGACTAATATTATGTACTGAGTTCCTGTGTGTTAGAAAAATAATTTCTTCTATCAGATGTACCTAACATTCACAATATTGTTTATCCTGCCTAATGATATCCAGGTTTTTAATCCCTCCACAGAAACGTTTCTTACAAACTAAATATCTATCCTGTTAATACATTTTAGTCTTCAGATCTACATTTTAATTTAAAATCGATAAACCTAGTATCCCATTGCAAACCACAAAAAGCATTTCAGAATTGTTAGTAGAAGATAGTATCATTACCACTGATGAAGATTTGGCCATCAATGTCGATCAAATTCAACCGATTAAAACAGTTTAAGAAAACATCCACCCACAATGCATCATTACAAATGACGATATATGAACATTATGCAATACGAAATCTTAATTTACTTGAGCTGTGGAAAATTAACCACCTTGTCGAGTTAATAAGAACAGCAACATAAGTATGAGGTCTTTAGAAATTACGACAATAAACTCAGCCATAAGAGTTATCTTAATGTCTGCTGATAATATTTGCAGGTGTGCTGTGAAAAGCTAGACAATGGCGAAGCTAGCATTTACATTTCTACTAATTATCTTTCATGCTTTCAATACCCCTTAAAAGCTACTCTTAAAGGTGTGTGCGACTGCATAATCGCGCATGTTATTTTAGAGTAATTATCTAACAGAGATATTTCACTCGAGGAGTTGCCTTGCAAGGCAGAAGATAATATCCACGTGTAACTGACAGTTTATTTGATTGAGAAGCGGAGAGTAATCATTGTTTCCTTCGAAGACTATATTGAAAAAAAAGATAATCTTCGAGTTAATAAATACAGGCTACAGCATAATCAAGAAAATAGCTACGTCAGCCTGGATGAGGCGAATGGAGCCGCGAGCTCTTTTAACTTCCTCGCGGTAATTAAGGGATCTTAAGATTAGGAACGGACCTTTGGGAACCCGCAGAATCCTCTACATAGTAACAACTCAATTATCTCTCAAAAATTCCATTGCTTTCTCAGGAAAAGTTGACAGCAAACTTAAATTGACTCAAACCACACATCTCTATTAATTTCATATTTTTCTACCCGGGAGATTTCATAATTTGACTTATTAACAGAGTTTGTTCGCATAAGCACTAAGGGAAAAAATTCAGACAGGGAAGCTGAGTATGTTTTACTGCGTACTTCTACTGCTGTCTTGTTTCATTATCACGCAACACATGTAACTGGTCAATTTTATTTAATATTACATATTCCATGCATATGGTCATTCATTATAATCATATGTGAAATTGGTCACTTTGTTAGTTGAATAGCAGCAATGAATAATAATAATTATACTCTTAATATGCATCAATAATCATTAGTACTGTAGAAGTATGTCCATGATGAATTCCAGATTGCCTTATTATTGTATATCCAATTGTTTTGTATTAGACATCAATGGAAAGTATGCATAAAGACAGGTTACTTGGTAATTTATATCATATCACACTGTCCATGGAATCAAATATATCATGGCACATAATATATGCACAAGAGAATATGTAGGTATACAGGTGAACTTTGACCTCTGCTGTCGTAAATGCAAGTAAACATACGAACGATGAATGTGTTGCTTGGCACATCTCTACTGAATTAACAACACTCAGAATGGTGTGCATCCAGTGAATAGCCATGTGAAAAGTTCACCTAAACAGAGATAATGAATTTCAATACAAGAGGTCTCATAGTTATCCTTGCAATTTCCATCAAATGAGGTAAAACCCCGGGGGAGTGGGGGAGGAGCAGCTAATTGGCAGCTCTCTTGTTTTTAATGAAGTTGAAATTCAGCTCGAAAGAAGCATTGGATAATTTTCATTCGACACTCATCGTTTTCTGAAATTTCCGATCGGAATGGGGTAATCAAAAAAGAGATACTGCTGGATTTAATTTCAATAGAAAGGTATGACAGTTCATATGATGATGAATTTCTCCAACTCTTCTAGGTTTCCAATTACCATTGATATCCAAAATCTAACATTATTTCTCATACATTCTATAACACAAGTTCATAGTTCAAGGATCAAGAGGCAAGATGCTATATTATGCTTTCATCTTATGTACAAGAATTTAAAAATACTATACTATATGTAAAGCTAGTAAACTTAAAAATTAAAATGTAAAACTATTCCTTGCCAATTAACCAGCATAAAAAAATGTGTATGTTTGGAAGAAAAGATGTAAAAGCAACAAAAAAACTAAATTATTATTTATATTTCTCACTATGAATGACATATTTCATGTTATTTAAATGAGCAAAAAGGACATTTTTACAAGACTTTTCAACAAAAATTACATGACCATGCAAATCTAAAAGTAAAGGTCTCCCTCTAATTAAAGACCACTTCAATTAAATACCACCTTTGTGGTCCCAAATTCACAATGTCGTTTATATTTTAATTTTAACTAGAGACCAAAACTGCAAAAGGCCATGGAAACCCTGATCCCAAAAGTGGTCTTTAATTGGAGGGAGACCTGTATTTGATATGGACTCCACAACAATTGTCAACTTGTTTTATTATAGCGCATTATTATAATTTCACAATTTTGTTTAACTAAACTGTAACTTTAACTAACCATTCATTATGTTACACAACAGTTTCTAAACAAGTGTAATATCGCTGTTGATACCTAAATGACATATGATTGAATGCACAACAATGCAAGGCAAAACACCAGAAGTGATTTGAGATAATTAAGCAACTTGCTCAGTAACAAGTAATAAATGCAATTGGTACAGAATAATAAAGCTCCTGTCAACAGAAGCAGATTTTGAAAGGTTTCGAGTATAATGGTGCGTTGGTAATAACATGTGGCTTTGTAGCTAGCGGCTTGCAAAGAGGAAACCAGAGCCGCTACTATTAGGCGGACAAGCCTTGACTCTGTGCACAATCAAGTGGAAACGGTGTAAAAAGATTCATCAAATCACTGAACCGATATGAACTTTTGGTAGGCAACTTAACAATACTTGAATCTGCTTTCTAACCTTAAGACCTAAACATTGTTTAGAAAGACCAACTGATTGTACATAGAAACTGGACAGGGAATAAATTTAAAGAAAAAAAGTTCTTTACCTTTTCTAACTCTAACAGATGAAATCGTAACACTTGGATGGATTGGATCATCTGAAAATAGAAATGTATAGGATTAAAAACAAATAAAAAAATACAAGAGGGTATAAAAAGTTGGTGAGGAGAAAGCTTAATAGATTAGAATAAATCAGACATTTACAAAATACCTTCTAAAAAACACAGGCAAATAACTATTAAATAATATGTTGACTATTTCGCTTTTGTTACTTCAATTAATTTTAATCTAAACTGAATTGTTACTATATAACATTGGTAGTGAAAATGAATAATTTTTATTTATTTATTTTGAAAAATTTTTTCATGTTTTTCTTTTCAAAACTACTATTGAATGACAGTTGTATATTCTGCTTTTGCTGCACCTGGGAATTGTATTTTTTTTTTGTTGTCTGCCAAAATGAATAAAAGAAAACTCAAAACATTACAATGAAAAAATAAAAGAATACAAAAAAAGTTTATGAAATTAGAATGAATTTAAAATTCAAAAACATATTTATATGCGGGCTGTAAAAAAATGGTTCACGCTATGTTCCAGCCTTAGATGCAAGCCAGCTAGGCCCTTGGCATTGCTTCAGGCATATAAGATCAGGCCCACCCTTTGCAGAGCCTTGCTATAGGACCTGTCTCTTATACACATCTTCATTTTCCATTCCACCATCTTCTGGCCGTAGTCAGAGGCAGAGTATAATCTAATCTTTCTACAATCATTGCAGTTATTATGAACTATAACTTAAGAAACGCCCATGGAAAGTTCATTTCAATAAACCTAACTTCATAAGATTAAAATACTGGTAGACAACCTGCCAATGATCTATTTGGAAACTTTTTGTCAACGGACCATATGTCAGAACACTGTAAAGATAAGATAAGATGATTTTTTTATTGCCATAATCCAAACATGTGGACATGTATTTCTGAAGCTTGGATTTAATTACTGTACAAAGGCACAATAGATTTTTCTTTTTTTATCTTGGTAGAGTAGGCTTAAATGTTTCTATCATTTAGTGATGAAAAGTGACCTCAATATTTATAATGAGGGATTATCATTACATTAATATCAAATACTAATAATCATATAACAAAAATAAATGACAGTAAGTAATAAAAATATTTATCATGATGAAAAGCAAGTCTTCATTTGTTACATGAATTCTTGTCTACAATCATAATATGATTATGGTTGTACACTTGAAGTCCTACTGCATTTTTATAATTTAACATGGTAAAAAGTTGTTTTTTTTGTTACACGAATTGAAATTAGTCTACATGAATTCTTGTCTACAGGTACAATCATATATGCAACAGCTAGTGCATGCGTTGAAACAATTGGGGAGAAAAAAATTGTCAATTTTGAAATATCTGCCTAAGTTTGCATTTTGGCACATGAAATAAATTAGGGCCAACAGCAGTGGCGGTGCCAGGGGGGGGGACAGCAGGGGCTCAAGCCCCCCCACCTGACAGGTTAAGCCCCTACCATTGGACAGAGCTCGTCAGGCAGTTGGACTAAAAAATATATAGAAATAGGCCCATGCCAAGCCAACACATGTCTGTCACAATCAGAAAGTGTCATTTCTGGTCATCCAGAGGTCCCTAATCTTTAAAAAAAATCTCATTTGGGAGGGGAATACCCTCTCAGACCCTTCCCCCAGCTCTGGCCTACGAGCCCAAGTCCCCCTGTCGGACAGCTCAGCCCCACTCCCCCAGAAAATATATCCTTGAGCCGTCACTGGCCAACAGGCCTACATAAATGACCGCCTACAGTCATTTGGTTTTTACACTGGAGTGCGGTATTGACTACCGCTACTGCTCTGCATGCATCTGCTGTAACAAATAACAATGAAAGATTTTGAACTTCCACCAAATCCACCAAGCCTTCAAAATGCTACTGAAATACAAACATCCTGGTAATGTAAACAATAATTACTGTATCTGTGAGTCCTGGCATGGCTATAGCCTAAATAATAGTGGTTAAGGCTACTCCAAATAGGATCACCTGTATTAAATTAGAGAAAACGTTCATTAATAAACCACCATTTCCTCGCCCCAGCAGAGAAAATTATATCTTTCAACATTTTGACGCAACACTACTAAAGGACAATATCATTAAGGTAGCCACATTTCTTCCCGCCTCGAGAATGTTCACTTATTCAGTTTTCATTATATAACAGTAGAGTGGTGGCCATCTTTGTGAGGAAAAGGAGAATTAATATCTGTCCATGCTATCATTGTGATTTGACCATATATGGATGTAATATGACATCATGATGCCCATATATATGGGCAAATCACAGATTCGTCACATACAAGCTGATAGTGTCTTGTACAGCCCCTTAGAATAATAAAGAACATTATTTAATTAACATTATTTTTAAGCTACAGTATATATTATAAGAATAATATTAATTTGGAACATGATTTAAATAATATCCTCCCAATTATTACACACATCAAACTTTTTAATTTTCGATTGAAAATAAAGACTTTATAACACTCATCAGAATCATTAGGTTCAAATTTTAAAAGTCATGTAACTGTATAAGCTTGATTTCTTGCAGCAAATACTCTCGAGAATGAGTCATTTTCCATTCCACCATCTTCTGGCCGTAGTCAGAGGCAGAGTACAAAGCATTTTTCCCCAAACTACAAGTATGCGTGCTTGATGAATTTACATTGTCCATAAATCAAACACACACTGCACACACACACACCATAATGGCTTTTCATATTTTCATTCACTCATTATTTCTGCAGTCTTTAAAAACACTACGCGGACAAATATTAGACATTAAGAATATGCACAAAGAAATTAAAATTAAATATGCCCATAGGGGGAGATGCTGATATATGTACTTAGTGAATCAAAGAGACAGTAAAGGTGGCAGAAATTACATAGATGGAGACACAGGTTTCCCCCTGGGGACAAGGAAGGTTCCCCCTGGGGCTGGGGAAGGGTGGTGTTAACATCGAAGAGATTCATTAACTTCAAAAAGAATTGAACTCTCAAGGACATTTGCTACTAATCTCAATGACATATTAATAACAACAATAAGGATACACTGTTCTTTTTTTGTATAATACATACAATACTATGAACAAAAAAAAGTAAATATAATGACAGAATTAAAAGTTAATATAATGTAAAAAAATTATTATTTTGAGGGGATAAAAGTATTTTTATAAACATTGTTTAAAAAACAATATGAAACAAATAGTGTTTCATTTTATAACTTAAGATCAAATTAGTTCTGTAAAAGCTGATAAAAATCCAATACTTTAGTTTGTAATTTCATGTACAAAATTAATAAGAAATTCTTAATTAGATTAAGGTGTTTAATTTTGGAAAAAAAAAACATGTTTTTAAGTATGTGCTTTAAAGGTTTTTATGTTGTTTTTTGAAACAGCATTTGCCGTTTTGTATAGTAGTCAGTCGTAATCGATAAGGATTAATACGGAATTGAAGAAGGGAAAGCAGAAATCGGAGAAGAAACATGCAAATAGAGACGAATATGTTTATTTACGCTCAGCACCACTCGGATACAAAGGGCAACACAACCCTACCTACTTAGTACTTGCCCTAGGGCGATGAATGCAGCGTAAACAAGCACTTGTTTATATCTTACAGGTTCTATTGTGATGGTATAAACTAGGGGTATAGACCTGGTTTACACTCGAGATGTCAGCGGCTATTCGTTAGTGATTTTGTTAAGGTACTATAAACAAACTTGTTTGATTTGATTACTAGTTGTATAGTTTTTGTATACATTGTAATATATTACTACAGATTAAAGTAATCATTTAAGAAGCTAAGTTAACCCAGTTGTAGAGAAACATAATGCTGTCTGTTAGGTATGCCATTCAGTTGGAACTTATTGTAAAATCTACTTGAAATACGGTATTTGGAATCATGTCATACAGATCTGGATTAATATTAAAATGGTAAATAAATAAAATAAATGATTAATAATAATATATCCAAAAAATAGTATATATACACATCTAGATGTGTATAAGAGACAGGTACGCAACATGCCCTATAAACTGTTATGTCAGCTACAGCAAAACTTGTGATAAATTTAAGAAGCACTCTTCGTAGGCTGGGTAAATATTGCACACTTTTTTAGGGGGAAAAACATTTGCTGCTACTAGGCCTAGACATGCAGTACTTAGATATATAGCTTGGTATTGAGGCTTACCTTCCATCCAATCTCAGAGTGCTAAGTTCAAATGGCACAGAATTTTGTTCTCATGTGATGAAAGTAAAAAAGCCGGCTTAAAAATACGGTGAGGGCGAGTGAGGGAACAAGATTCATACCGTACATTCTTGTGTATAAAATTAGACTTGTCCGCAACATGAAAATTTACTACTGAAATGAAGTTTTTAACCGTTTGTATGAATGAACACAATCTTAAATGCAAGGAAATAAGATTCTGATGAACATTTAAAAGCCCATAGAATGGTTTTAATTGAAAGATTAGCCCCAAGTTTTGCTCCACTTTTAGCCAGCTAGATGCAGTATCACGAGTCAGACCATAAAGGGCAACAAACACCAGGTATTTCGAAGATGAAACACAGGAGGGGTCGTCATATACGCCCAACATACAAAAATCATCCAAAAATTTTCTTAAATATATATCCTCCACTGTATCGCCTTATACAAAAGAGTATACTGTAGTATTTTTAACATAATCATTTTGTCAGTAAATATTAACAAACTAAGTATCCTGGTCTTTTTTCACTTGAAAGTCATTTGATATAATAAATCGCTCTCCACGAGCAAATGACAAGACATGAAATGCTAAATATACAATCAAAATAGATACAAATGCTAAATAAACACAAAACGATAACAAACAGAATATCCTGAATAACTAGTCAATGTTGTTGTTGAATTGTACAAATGGATTCCAATCAAATAATTGAGACTTAAATTAATTGGACCCTACTAGGTCTTCTTGCCGGAAACAGCTACCGGTACAGTGATCTTTATTCAGTTATTCAGAAAGATATTGTATTATCATATTGTATTTATTTAGCATGCTGGCAGTACCTATTAAATGAATGTATTTATTATTTTATTATCTTTTCAATTTCTTTTGTGTTGCAACTGATTAAAATCAAATGAATTTAAATTAAGGTAATTTTTTTTTTAACTTTGGCAGCTAAAAATGGTGGTGCTTTACTATTAATTATTTTTTTACATTTTTGGTAAACCTCGCTTAAAATAGTTTATTATAAGTCAAAAATTAAAACTGAAGATGAATCTCTCACCAAAATGTATTAATCCAGCCTTAATACAAATTCTTTTATGAATTTCAGCAATAGAAACACATTAACTAGGTCCCCACTTCTTGATTTTGAGACCCATGGGCCTATTTTAACAAATTATCAAGATAGCACAACACAAGTGATTTTAGGTTTAACTTCCTGGGCTCTTGGTGAGCTAATAGGGTGTTAATCAAAAAAGGAACAAAGCATTTTTTCCCCTGATCCATAAAAAAACCCAATGTGGAAAACATTAAATTAAACATCTGTTTCCTAATCAGTCCAAGCCAGATTCTTCACGTTAATTAAAATTTTATGTTATGAGTTAGTGGAGTTATAACCCAAACAACTTGATATAAAAAATGTACCCTATCTGCTCGCATACAAGATGAGGCTTAAAATATCAAATTATGATCGAAAAAATGTATAAGAGAGTTGCTTTATACGTGCAACATACATTTTTGACTTTTTAAATTATGTTCGCCTTTTGTGCGGGTCGTCCGTAACACGCGAATTTACTACTGAAATGAAGCTACTAAATATTAGTATGGATGAATGCAATTTTAAAATTTAAGAGCAAATAAAATGGTATTATTTGCAAGATTAGCCCTAAATTTGTCTCTGTTTTTTTTTATACAGCTAGATGCAGTATCAAGGTCCCAGTTGGGATATACCGGGTATCAAAAGAAAGAATTCTGACCTTGAATCAAGGGGTGGGGGGGGTCGTCTTATAAACCTGACATACAAAAATTGTCCAAAAATCTTCTTAAACTCAGGGGTTGCCTTATACGCTGATTTTAACATTTAAGGAAATTGTTTATAATACAACAATGTCAGAAGAGCAAGACATATGCAACTAGGCCTAACATAGCGTGTCGCTGAATTGGTGTCAAACATAGAAAAATAGCATAATACAATAATAATTCAATTCATTGAAATACATTCTGTATAAAGTGATGTGTATATTAATGAATAGTGTTTGTATATTAAGCTGGCAAAAATCCCAAACTAACTGAGACGTCCCAATTTGGATATTTTGAAATTTTACTTTACTATGTATTAAAGAAAATTAAATAAATTGATTAATTGGACCAATTAAACATATTTATTTCAATTCTCATTAATTTGGAAAGATTGCTACAACAACAACAACAACTATGGTACAAAACAACACATAAATCAGTCACCAACTAAACACAATTAAAAAGTGCTCATGAATTTAGTAGCATTGATTATTTCCACAATTCATTTTTCTGTAGATCATTTATAAAAAGTAATTTTAAATAAAATGAAATATAAAACATTATTAATATACAATATATCCTGCCATTATATTTATATATCATAATGAAATGTAATGTAACATAATACAACTACATGTTATGAAGTTCAAACTTACCAAACTGTCTAATTCTTCGTTGCTTGAAAAATATTGCTTATCTCCTCGCGCCTGCAAAAAAAAAGAGACACCAAAAATAGCCATTTAATTTCCTTATCCTCATAATAAACGCTCAACCCGTCTAACAATCAAGTTGACAGAGCCAACTCAAGGACATGCCGTAATGAACGAATGTTTTAATACAGATTTGAACTTGACTCTTTGACAACATAGCTTTTAATCTGGCAACATTAGAACTTATAGCAAAAATTCCTGTGTTATACTTTGTTTCGCAAACCTGCCGTCTGATTTTGAATAAGAATAAAATTTTATATTTGGCCCATGTGTTTAGAACTTATAGCTCGACTTTTTCTATACTTCGTTTTTACATACCTGAAACAATTACGAATACGAAATTACATGTTATTTTTCGCCTAAAATATTAGTGTTTAGAACTTGCAGCAAGACCTTTCATATTTTTTGTTCTGCGTACCCTCCGCCTGAGTTTGAATTAGAATGACATTTTGTTTTTCGCCTATTAGTATTTAGAAATTAGAGCGAGACGTTTTTTATACTTCAGAAGAATTTAATATTATTTTTGGCCTATAGTGTTTAGAACTTATAGCTTGACTTTTTTTTCACATACCTAAAGCAATGATTTTGAATATGAATAATACTTTATTTTTGGCCTGTCAGGGTTTAGAACTTGAAGCAAGACTTTTCATATTCTGTGTTTTGCATATCCGCTGTCTGATTTTGAATAAGAATGAAATTTAGTTTTTGGCCTATTAGTGTTTAGAACTTATAGCTTGACTATTAATTTCTATACTTCATTTCATATACCTGATACAACAATTATGAACACAAATAAAATATTAGTTTTGGCCTATTAGTATTAGTGTTTAGAATTTATGTGGTGATTTTTTTTTTTTTTTTTTCCGTTTTGTGTCCCTGCTGCCTGATTTTGAATAAACAATGAAATTTTATTTTGGACCACATTTACAGATCTGATTTCAACCTTTGCATCTTAACATCACATTCTTTACGAACAAGTGATAGAATCTTGAAAACGGCCTAAAAGCTTCCACTGAATTTTTTATTTCTCTCATTTTATAACCTTCAACTAATTTTAATTTTAATTTTCACCAATGCCCAGACATCTTTGGCAGTACCATTTTGCTTTTAGAAAAGATAGTTTACTGACTTTTCTTTTTTTCTTTTTTTTTTTCGGACTGATGATTTTTCCATGAAAATATGCTAAACAAAGTACATGAAAAATTGCTCTAGCTATAAAAACATACACAGCTTAAAAAGCATCATAGCCTTTTCTTTTATTAATATTCTAAAATGTTATGGTACCAACCAAAAAAAAACAAAACAAAACCATTGTTACTTAAAGGAATATTTTATTTTTTAGAAATGATTTATATGGTTATTAATTAAAAATACAAATATTTTATTTTTTACTTTAATTATTTCCAAATAATACAAAATATAGTAACACATGCAATATGGAAATAAAAATTCTTAATCAGACTTACCCTGAGTTTTGCCTTAAATTTTATGTTTTCATGTACTCAAAACAACATGGATAGTTCATTTTTATACATACATCAATTTTATCAAAAATACAAAGTAAACGACTTATGATTCCTAAATGTATACATTTAGACACTACATACATTGCTTAATTTATGCAAAGTAACATTTTTTACATTATTGAAAAGAGAATGAGGCTGTTGCCTTTTCTTTTCCTAGCCAAGATGGCTGCTATAGTAAATACACCTTGTAATTTGATTGTCCATGGATATTCCTGCTCTCATGAGAATGCTTAGATTTATTCAGGGCTTTTTGGAGGTGGGCCAAAAAAGGATGAAGGAAGGGAGAGAGAACCATGGCTGTTTATTATATGGCCTAAAGACAGAAACCCATTTTACTCAAAGCAATTTGCTGACTTAAATGGATAAGAATTTGTCAAATGATGTGTGCAATTTAATTAGGTCATCATTAAAGAATCTTTGAAAATGTAATATTTTTTCTAAACTTTACGTCTATGATTTACAATGCTTTCTAAAAATTGTCTATAAACATTTTAATTATTTCTAATTTTTTTCCATCTAAAATGAACATCCAAATATTTTCCAAATATGGTATGGCATTACTGCACATTCAGTTAGCCTGTCACATGAAAAATAATTATAGTTTAGCAAAGGTACAAACATGTTTTTTATTGGACTAAATAATTTGTAGTAATCTCGGGAAAGGACAAGCCTGGCTGCAGTCTTTGGAGTTATTACTGCGATGTCACTCACATAATCATTACTTGTAAATTGAAATTACTTAAAGATTTTGCAAAGCTCGGGGAAAAAGGAAAAAAAATGCTCGCGGTCCCAGTAAATCTGAATCATAGAGATGTCAGTCAACAAAATAGACATTCTGTTAAGGTGACATTAGATTTATAAGGTTACACATATCTGTATAGTCTTGATGTGATAAATAATGTTATTTCTTATATGCTACCAGCAGATTGCTTCTGGCCTAATTTGGACATCACTACAAGAGTCCTTTACTGAGCACTTGTCAGGGAAAGTTCTTTGTTCTTTGTGAGCCTGAAAATTTGTACCTAGGGTTACAATATATTATCAACATTAACTGTTTGCGAGTAAAAGAAAATTTTATGAAACTATTATATTCAAACGAAGAAAGTATGGTGATGCTCTTAGGAAAATCAATTTAAATAAATGTTTTACCATAAAGTAATAAAGGGCATTTTCTTTTAAACAATTGTTTGCAACACAATAGTTATAAATCAAATGTAAGAATGAACAATGCCGAAAAAAAAAACCATCTCTCTAATTTGATAAAACACAGCAAAATCACTTTGAGATACAATTAAAGAAATCCTTCAATTTAAGGTTTCTTTAATTGTATAATCTATCTAAACTCAAAATGCCTTTGTATTATTTTCAATATTTATTACATTTAAGGCCACAAATATCATTACATAGAGAAAAATCATTCAGAAAACCCATCAATCTTGATAATCAGGTCGTAGACAGTTCATGATTTCTATAACATGGTTATATTTTTATGAAGATTTATTGGTATTGAACAAGTAAGGAGAAAGGACTTGTGACAGAAATTAATCTCTCATTTTTTACATATTCATAAAACTATTTTGATAATAGCGTACACTATAATTGCAATGTATAAATAAATATTAGATATAAATTAACTATAGATTAGATATTGCAATAAGAAAATATGTTTAGTTGAGTTTAGCGGCTGAAGTTAAAATCTTTATATGAACAGATGGCAGATAATATAAATTAATTCTTCTATCTATTAGTTTAAACTCTGGGGTGATGATGGCTATCCAGTATATTTCTATTGTTTATTTTTTCTGAATACACTATTGATTAAAAGTGAAATACCTACATTTTAAAAATTTATATTATTAGCCATATTTTAATGTATGTAGTTGAAAATAAAATTATAAAAATTAATCCTTTTTTTTTATTCTGCAAAAAGTAAGATGTTATTTATACTGTATTGTCATAAACCTGAACACATGGATGTGAAATTCTAGAGTTTTATTGCTATAACAAAAACACAAATATATGGGTGCTAGTAATGTATTGTAAACAATTAAAAACAATAAAAACAGCATTTTTTTCTTACCTGTACTTGCTTTGCAAAGACCTGAATATCTTCGTTGAAAGATTCTGATGAACACACATCTGCGCCTGTCACACCTGGTTCCCTAGGAGTACACGTAGCTAGCTCACACTTCTCAAATATCAGGGCTAACAATGGAAATAGTGGATGGCTATGCAAAAGAAAACAACACATTTAAAATTAGATTTTTGTAAAATTTAAGTAAAAATAAAGTAAAATTTTGCCTAGGCTCAGTGTTCTTATTTTTTAGCCGATTTCAGGCTCAAAATGTTCTTATTTTGTTCTTATTTTTACTCTTTTCAAACATTGAAAATTATTATTTTACAGTCAGTATATTATAATACTTTACTCTATTATTTATAGAGAGTATTACATAGTAACACCTACTGCAAATAAGGTACAGGTAGATTTGTTGTTTTTCTATTTAAAAAAAAAATAAATATAAAGCTCATTTTATATTTCACCTCAGTCTCAATTTGTCTTATTTTGTTCTGAGATTTCAGCCTCAGCATTCTTATAAAATTGTTAATTGTTAATTGTTATTGTTATTATTGTTTAATTGTATATAAATCTGTACTTGTATTAAATTGCATTAAATTATTTGTAATATGCCATATTATAGGAGGAATTTTTCATATTATTCAAACATAACATTAATATACTTTAAATTAAATCTAAATATATAAATATATATCTTTACTTATATTAAATTATATTAAATTATTTGTAATATGTGATATTGTAGAAGTATTTTTTTACATTACCTAAACCTTACATAATTTACTTTTAATTAAATCTAAATATATAAATAAATATACATTATATATGTACTTATATTGAATTGTATCTAATTATTCGTAATATGCCATATTGTAGAAGTAATTTTTAAATATTACCCAATGTTGAGGAGTGCAATCGCTCTCGACATTTTTTTATATCATCCAAACATTGCATAACTTACTTTCAATTAAATCTAAATATATAAATAAATATATGTTATATCTGTAGTGATATTAAATTGTTTGTAATATGCCGGAGACAAAGGTTATAAATGCACTATGCTTCTCTTATAATGGCCATATATGCTTAACATTTAACCATAAAATATAGGCCTCTTAGTTTCAGTAATATCACTTACATCACGCAGTTCTATGTGATGGGCGGAAATTGTGTTATCTCATTTTCATCTTTCTCTTTTATTAAATACTTAATTTCATGCAAGACTGCCAGTAGAAACTATAGCATCTAAAATAGTAAGATACATTCACACAATATGTATTAATACTCCCAAGTATATCCATATCAAATATAATTTATTATTCAAAATATGCTACACTGGCCAACACAACTACAGCATTAAGCATTTGACCATAAGTATTTTGACAGAGAACAGTCATAGGGAAGAGGAGGTGAGGGAAAACACTACTTTAACTGCTGTAATTCGATTTGATTTCTATTTGATTTGATTTACTTCGGCATCGTATATAATAATAATAATATTATTGTTCTTATTACAATTATTATTATTGGTATTATTATTATGAATATATCCTCCTTACATTTTAAATTTTTTAATTCTATAGCCTTCATTTGATTGTATTTTATTGTTTGTGTTGCTGGGCCCTGAAGAATAACAATTACTTTAGCACCGATCGAGTCACCCAGGGTAAATAAATTTAAAAAAAAAAAAAATCAATTAATTGAATTTATAAAATCAAATTAACGAAGAGAATTACTGTAAGATGATCTAAACACAATGAAAAATTATTTATAAAATTTAGCACTGCAGATTTCAGTACAAAATGTAAAATTCGAAAAAATAAAGACATCAAAAAATTTGGACCTGGCAAAAGCAACAGAGGAGAAACAAAAACAAAACAAAAAGTACATGGACGTAAGGGGAGAAAGGAATTCCAGAACCCCCCCCCCCGACCCATGGAAGCAAATTAGTTCCACTAAGTGAGTTAAAATACTAAAAATGACCATCGAGTTTTCATTGGAATATCAAATTTAATTCCACACTCTGGAGTTTAGTTCCGCATTCCAGGATATAATTCTGTATTCTTATTTTTCGTACCACTCCCACACCCCCAGCCAGAAAGAAACCAGCCTATGCCCCTGGAGTAGTTAAAGAAATGTTTCATACAATTTATAAAGTGCAGTTTTTTGAACTCTTGTTAGTTCAGACGTTTTAATAGTGCAATTTATTAAAATTACATTAACTATTCATAAATGCAAAAACCTGGTACATTATTCACTACTTTGTGGCTACTAAGTACTTTGTCATTTTGCTGCACCACACTGTGGTTAAGCCAGTCTAAGTGTTTTTAATTGTGTATTGCGATTTTTAGTACTATTCTGTACCTGGTATTCTAAATCACACGATATTAAAAATGTTACGAAAAAAAGACCTCTATTAATGCTATATGATAATTTTTTTTTTTTTAAACAATGTTCCAAATCAGGATACGAGCCCAACACCTTCCTACAGAAATCCTTCAATTTACTAATAGTTGCAGTGCCAGGGATTCTCCCGACAATGGGTCAAAGGTCCCTGGTCCAAAATCTCTTACAAGGGTCCACCCATATCAGTCCCACCATGGTTGAAGCAAATGCAAAGAATAGGCACATGTAAGATGTCTAGAAATGCTTTTTCGAAGCTGTGTTCCCTGATGAAATGATTGACTTCTTTTCCCTTCCCTGGCAGGGGGTCTTATGCTTCTCTGGACCCCCACTGCTAACTACAGAATACAAAAACAATTCAAATTCATTGCCCATATTTTTCATCTTAGAAATCAAATTAAAAACTGGTAGACGTAAAAAACTATAAATGATAAATATGCCAGGTCGTCTGATGGTAACGCGCGCTACAAATGACTTTTACATCAAAGTCATGCGTACTAGTTCACTGCGACCCTGTTTCTGTTCAATACATAATGTGTGTTAATTCTATTCATCTAGCAGAAGAGAAAGATCTAAAATGTAAATGTAAATTTTATAGTGTTTTGAATTCTTAGCTATGATACCGTTTAGTGTGGAAACTGATAAAATTACATAACACGTCAGTAGACTGTATACCCTTCCTATTGGAAAGTACATACTGTAGGTAGTTAATATTTAGCTAATTTGAATTGATTTTTGTTTACACATTTTTTTTTGTGATTAGTGAGGGTGTGCTCCAACCAACCCTAAGGATAGAGGCAAATTTGAGGTTTTGCTGGTAAAATAAACACTTTCTTTTTTTAAGGCCAAATAAAATTAATTGTTAGTTTCTGGGATTTTAAATTATTTTTTGGTGAGGGTATTATTTGCTACTTATAATCATATATACTAATAGTAAACAGGCTGGTAAATAGTAAAAATAGGGGGTTTTTTTTATAAAAGAAGTAAAATGAATCTTTGTAACATATTTCTGCCATTTATGTCCATTTCTTCTTAGGTTTGACATCATTCTTTCAGATACTGGTAGTCATTTTTATTTTCCACGGAAAAATGTATGTTTTTTTTTTTTAAATAGCAAATAGTAATTTTTTTTGGATGAGGCTCCAAAATTGAAAACGTGAAACTAACACACTGAAATGAACAAAAGAAATCACTGAAAGGCCATTAATAAACCTTGTAACTCAAATAGATACACAGGTCAGTAAAAAATAGTTATGATTTAGTTTTAAACACTAAATGGGAGTTAATGAGAGGTAACTTAAGTTTGTCTGACTGCAGTATCATGATTTTAAAAATGCTGGTGCCACAACTGCTATATGTTACTAAAGACAAATATGAGGTTATTACGTATGACACACTTCCGTTTGAAGTTGCATCTGAGTAATCGGTTATGGTACTCACAAACTCTAACCAAGCCCCTGCTACTGTTTGTGCCAACAAAACTACTAATTAGTGATAGCGCTGCTTAGTTTTTAATTTCTGGATCACACAAGGCCAATTAAAAAATAATAATAATTTCTCAACAAAAATTGTGTAGTGTGGAACATGCAACATTGTATCATCAATTTAGAGGAAAACAAATGTCCGATTTTTTAATTGAACAATAAGTTATTTCATTTAATGTTATCAATTAAAGAATGAAAGGGTTAAGTTGTTTTTAATTGTGAGATTGAATCAGAACTCTAGAATTAGAGAGGAAGGCACTTTATTTATCCTCAAATTGAACAATAAGTGATCTTTATCCTATTGAACAATATTAATGAAAGAATGAAAGTGTTTTTACTTGAACCAGAACTGTGACATCTGAAGGGAAGTTACTTCATCCTCAACCACTTCTCAAGTTAAAACAAAAATTGTTAAAATCAAATAACAATGGTTAGAATGATTTAAAACCAAATTAAATTCGCATATGACCTGGATAAATTTGAGCTCCTCTGGTTTCAGAAGTAGGAGGCCTAAAGTAACCCCTTCCATTCAAGATTTATAACAGGAGTCTGGCCTTAGTAAATCAAGGCCTAGCCTGTTAAGTACAAACGTAGAGCATTACTGATAGCCATTCCAGAAATCTTACTCCCTTCTAAATCTATTTCCTACACATGTATCTTTTCTCATAATTATTGTGGGGCTTCTAGATATGTAAACTGCAATGTATATGTTACAGCTGAAATGTTGTTTACGAAAACCTTAGGTTAGGCATGTTGCTACGACATCCATTTATCAATGAGACAAGCAGAAATAATATAATGTACAAGAGGGTTAAAAAATGTTAATTAAATCTGAAACCTAGAACGTAATTCAATATGTATTTAAAACTTGGAAAGGTACATTCACATTATACTGCTGCCACTGCTAGCATATTTCAGTTTCTAAAACATTAAAATCATAAAAGATGGTCTGAGTGAAACCCTTGGTTACTGTAATCATGTTAATCAATATACAAAAATGAACATGAATAACCCCAAAAAAAAAATAAAAAAATTATTAGACGAGCTTCATAGTTATCTTTTACAATTTTACAATAAAATGAGATAAAGTAACAATTTCTTGAATATCTGGTATCTAATGTTTATCTTTTAGTTGTATACCTGTATTATTGTCACATTACCACTGTAGTTCAGGTACCTGCCCTGCCTTCCACGCCAAGGTCTCTAGCTCAAATTTAAGGTGTCTTCCCCACCCACCCAAAACAAACCTTCCTAGTTAATAAAC